CATATATTTTCAGGAAAATATCTGCAGAACATCCCATCGACATCCCACCACAACGCCCCCCTTCCGCACATACCTGATAAACTCGTGGGCATTCGCCTTGCGCGCGGCTTCTTCAATCTCGGCGTCTGTGGCATCGGGTCTTCCGTAGCGGATGTTCTCTTTGATGCTGGTGTAGAATAGAATGGGCTCCTGACCAATGTATCCGATCAGACTGCCCCGAAGCCATTTGGGATCCAGTGACTTGATGTCCACACCTAAAGTCCAGAAAAAAATGGACTCAGGTCAGGGCAGGACAGGACAGGACAGGACAGGGCGCGTTGCTGTGCCTTACACTGGCGTGGAAGCGCAACTAGCGCTACCGTGCAAAACAAAACAATTTGAATACAATCTTGTGCCGTTTGGAGTGGGAGCAATCTGTATACCACATGGTACTGTGGGGCGTTAAATACAACACAATGTACAACGTCACACTGTGCCCAGTTGCATATGATACACTCCGGACGTGTGTGTAGTGTAGTGTAGCGTAGTGCTGTGCAGTGTAGTGCAGTGCAGTGTAGTGTAGTGTAGTGTAGTGTAGTGTAGTGTAGTGTAGTGTAGTGTAGTGTAGTGTAGTGTACTGTGTGCTGATTGACTTGTGATATCGCATGTGTTGAAGACAAGGGCTTTATTGCAGAGCCAGAAGCTGAGGGTAAGCGTTCAATAGGACCACACACACCCTGGTGCAAGATGTAGGTAGACTGACTGTGAAGCGTAGTTTGGTCAAGGCATCCCATAGGTATACAGAGTACAATAAACACTCAATCACGATACATTTGTATAATAACATGATATACGTATGCCCATTTTTTATAACACTCAATCACAAAACATTTGTATACTCATAGGATATACGTACTCCTATTTGATATACGTATGCCCATTTTTAATAACACTCAATCACAATACATTTGTATACTCATATTATATACGTATTGCTATTTGATATATGTATTTGTAATAACACCCAATCACAATACATTTTTATACTCATATGATATACGTATTCCTATTTGATATACGTATTTGTTATAACACTCAATTACAATACATTTATATACTCAAACGGTATACGTATTCCTATATGATATACATATGCCCATTTGTTATAACACTCAGTCACAATACATTTGTATACTCATATGGTATACGTATTCCTATTTGATATACGTATGCCCATTTGTTATATGCGTACCCCTCGGGATTTACAAATACCCATATACATCAACGTGTATGTGTTGGTACATATAGCGATCAATGTGAGCCTCTCGCACAAACACACACCTCCACGCACACACATATGCCAAATTATCATCTATGAAGATATATACACACATATGCCAACCTACCATCAATGAAGATCTGTCCCGTGGCTGGGTCGTAGAAGCGTTCTAGTAATGAGCCTATGGTACTCTTACCAGACCCACTGGGCCCACACAGTGCCAGCACCTTGCCAGCGGGTGCGTGGATGCTCACATCCGACAGTACTTGGTGGTTGGGTCGGGTGGGATAGACAAAGTCCACCCCTCTGAACTCGATGTTGCCCTGAACATCTGGGTATATGCAGTAGATGAGATGCCGGATAGGTATGAGATACGAATGTGTGTGTGTGTGCGTGTGCGTGTTTAGCCTTGAAGGTATATGAAGTGGACAAGGATAAACCAGGATACTACCCTGTACCTCTAGGACAAAAAACTCGATTCTAATGGGACAAAGACTTGAGTACAATGAGACAAGACTTCATTATGATGGGACAAAAACTTAATTCAAAGGGACAAAAACGTTATTATAATGGGACAATAAAATTTTCATAATATGGGACATAAAACTTGATTATACTGCACTATGCAAGTAGAGGCTATTGGGTATGTATATGTGCATGTATAATGACACCGGACAGAACATGATAGACCATTGATATATGAATAGAAGTAACTTACCATAGGGTATCATTGATATATAATTAGAAGTAACTTACCATAGGGTATCATTGATATATAAATAGAAGTAACTTATCATAGGGTATCTTTGATCTATAAATAGATGTCACATACCATTGGGTATCATTGATCTATAAATAGAAGTAGCTTACCATAGGGTGTAATTGACCTATAAATATAATTAACTTACCATAGGGTATCATTGATCTATAAATATAAGTAACTTATCATAGGGTATCTTTGATCTATAAATAGAAGTAACATACCATAGGGTATCATTGATCTATAAATAGAAGTAACTTACCATAGGGTATCATTGATATATATATAAATAGAAGTAACTTACCATAGGGTATCATTGATATATAAATAGAAGTAACTTA